ATATATATATATATATATATATATATATATATATATATATATGCCGTTTTAAAAATTTGTCAGACAAGATGCTATGAAAAGCTAGGGATATAGTGCCTGCTAGCACTGTATTTATTTATACAGGTTAGAGGCTGTAGAAATTCTAACCATTCTGAGACCAAAAATTTATGAAGACTGTTTCAGTAATGAGAAATAATACTGGAATACATAGGGATCAAATGTTTCTTTCTCTCTTTCACAGATTCCTATCACTTTAGGTGTTTTTTTAAATTCTTATTATGATGTGAAATTTAGTTTACTTGGGATGATATTTGCTGCTCTTGGTGTTATAGTGACATCTCTTTATCAAGTGGTAAGTTAAATATGTTTTTATATGCAAATTTTGAATAATATTTTATGTAATTCATTCTGTATTAATTTCCATTCTTCTGAGTAGAACATATTTGTTCTACATAGTTCCTTGTATTTAAATATGTCTTAGGGAAAGCTATTTTCTGTTGGAAAAACTCTGTGAACAAATATATAAATTGTATTTGCAGAAGGCTGGCATATGCACTCTTGAGTTTATCCCAACCTGGCGCCAAGTTGTTTTTGGCCATGGCTTTTGATCATGGATGATGCTGTCTTAGATTAATAAGGAGTTTTGTTTAAAATATTTGTAATATTATTAATATTTTAAATAGTTAATTGAAGAGTTAGTTGATGGAGAGTGGCATGACCAATTTTTAAAAAATATTGTAGGATTGTGTGATGAATCTACAGGGATGAGAAACTGTTGCTTATTCTGTTTTGTACTCAACAATAAACTGCATAAGGATGAAAAATTTTGCTTGCAGGAAGCTATTGCATTGTAATATCAAATATTTTGTCTGTGAATAGCCTATTTGGACAGTTTTGAACAGTCTTGATAGTGGTTCATCCCAGTTTCAATAGAAAAGAATAGAAAAGAATATATGTAGCTCAGAGATGAACTATGAGTTCTTGGTATTCTCTGAGTTTGGTTGTTGGCTTTGAAACATTTTTTAAGTTTTTTATTTTTCCTTTCAAATTCATTTTTAGATATACATTCTTATAATTGCTATTTAACATTTGTCAATTCATACCATTTTTCCGCCTGTATATTTACATTTATATATTTTCTTATTTCCCCTCCCCCTAATTTAATCATGTGTCATCTGAGATATTTATTTCATGTTTTGTTCCTTTTTCTATTTATATCTTTTTTTCAAGCCCCTCATAAAATCGCCCCCATGTCCTGTAGTACACTGATTCCTCCTTGTTCTTTATTCTCAATATCAACCTGCTCATTTCTGCACAGTCTAATATCTTCTTTATTATCTTCCCTTCTGATGGGATTTTGTTTGCTTTCCAATTTTGTGCAAAAACAATTCTAGCTGCTGTTATTATTTGTACAATCAAATATGAATCTTCTTTACTATATTTCTTTGCCCAATAAAAATACCTCTGGCTTAAACTCTACGGGTTGATGTATCATTTTCTCTAATCATGTTTGTATTTTAATCCAATAGCTTTGTGCATCCCTACACATCCGCCACATATGATAATATGTTCCTGGCAATTGGTGACATTTCCAACATTTAGCTGATTTATCCTTAAACATTTTTGCTAATCTTTCAGGTGGCATGTGCCATCTACAAAACATTTTATACAAATTCTCTTTGTATGCTGTCACCATTGTCAATTTATAGTTCCTTTCCCATAGTTGTTGCCATTTCTCTAGTTCTATTGTATATCCAAAGTTTTTTGCCCATCTTATTGTTTCTTTAACCTCTTCTTCTAAATTTATTCTAAGTAGATAACTGTACAACTTTTTAATCATTTTTTCATCCGTTCCCATGAGTATCCTATCTAATTCTGAATTTTCCATATTAAAACCATACTCTTTAACATCTTTCTCGTATTTTGTTTGTATTTGCATTTGTTTAAACCATCCTATATCAATCCCTTGTTCTTATAATTATTACTTCTGTTTTAGTTCTCCCTGTGCTGTTAGTATATCTTTGTACCTAATAATCTTTTTCATACTATTAATATTCAGATGTGTCAAAGCTTCCACCGTTGAAAGCCACATTGGTACATCCATATATTGTTTTTCTTTTACTTTTTCCCATACTGTGTATAAACCATTTCTTACATAGTGTCTCTGAAAATAACCATGTATTCTATTTTTCCCATACCACAAAAAATGTGTGCAACCCAGTTGCATATGGTGTCACTCCAAGGATAATAACCTTGCATTTCTTAATAATATCCATTCTTTTATCCATGTTAGAGCTGCTGCTTGATAGTTTAATTCCCAATTCAGTACACCAAATCCACCTCTAATCCTTGAATCTTGTAACATTCTTAAATTAATTCTCACTTTCTTTCCTTGCCAAATATATTTTCCTATTTTATTTAATTTTTTGAAGTACTTTTTTCCAGTTTTATCGATATTGTTTGGAATAAAAATAATATTCTTGGTAATATATTCATCTTAATTACCGCTATTTTTCCCCTTAGTGATGGCTGTAAGTTTTTCCATTTCTCTATATCCCTTTCAATTTGATTTCTTAGTTTATAATAATTATCTTCCTTAATAGTTACGCATCTCAAAATCAACTGTATTCCCAAATATTTCACTTTTTTTAACTATTTGAATATCTAATTTCTCCATTTTTTCTGTTTTTCAGTTATGTTTTTCACTAAAAAAATTGTTTTATCTTTATTAATTTTCAATCCTGCCACTCCTCCATACTCTTATATTTGTTCTAGTAGTTTTGGACATGTTTCTATTGGATCTTCAATAATAAATACCAAGTTATCTGTAAATGCTTTCAATTTATATTCTTCTTTTTTAGCTTTCATTCCTTTTATATCTTTATCTTGCCTTATCTTTCTGTTCAAAACTTCTAGTGTCAATATGAATAATAATGGAAATAGCGGGCACCCTTGCCTAGTCTCTTTTCTAATTGGCATTTTTCTGTCATATCTCCATTTGCCATCACTTTAGCCTGTTGTTCTTTAGAGATAGTTTTAACCATATTTATGAATCTCTCCCCCAAATCCATCATTTGCAGTTGCATATCATAAATTGCCAATTTACATTATCAAAAGCTTTCTGTGCATCCAAAAATAACAATGCCATTTGTTTCCCGGGATGTACTTCGTAATATTCTAATGCATTCAATATAATTCACATATTATCTCTAATTTGTCTCTTGGGTAAAAAACCATTTTGATCTGAGTGTATAAATTCACTTAACAGTCTTTGAAGTCTTTCCACTATTATCAATGCAGAGATTTTATAATCCACATTTAATAAAGAAATTGATCTATAGTTCTTTATTTGCTGCAAGTCTGTTTCTTCTTTTGGGATAAGAGTTTTTTCTGGAATCTTAGGTATTTCCGCCTTCTTTAGATTCTGTTTTATCTTGTCCTCTGCCACTGTGTCTTGTTGGTATAATTCCTTATAATATTTTTCTACTATTTTTTTCCTTTTCTTCTTTTTGATAACAAATATTCCCTTCTTGGTCTGATCATTGATTTATGATTTTTTTCCTTTCTCTTTTTTCATCTTGTACGCCAACCATCGTCCTGGTTTATTTGCGTTTTCAAAGAAATTTTGTCTTGTGGCTTTTGCTTCCAAACATTTTGTTACCTAATTAGGTAACATCATCAAAGCTAGGAGGAAATGGGGTTTGCTCTTTGTTTATATATATATATATATAGTAGCTTGTCCTGTCAGTGTTGATAGTAGTGGTGTTTTCTCCTTGGTAATTCCTTGATTAGGCTGTTCTTTACTACTTGATTGTTGGTAGTTCCATTTCATAGCTTATGTTGGTTCTGTTGTAGTGGTTAGGTGATCAGGCACTCATCCCAGTTCATATGCATTATTTTTTCCCATAACAATTTTTTGGTGAGAGATAAATGACATTTCTTCTTTTTAGAATGGGAAGGAAGTTAAAAAGACTTCTCAAAGAGTAAGTGAAAGTTGTATCACTAAACATACATTTTAAATTGAGTTTCCTCAAGGCAAATACAAATAGCTGATATTTTAAAGTTTAAAATATTTTCATTAAAGATAATTAAGCAAAACAGTAAGTGATTGTTTTTAGAAGTCTTTACTTGTCTTATTGTTGACTTTCTACTGACGTTGGGAGCAGTAAATCATTATAGTACCTATAGGCTTCTGCTTTCTCCACTCAACAACAGGCCAACAGCTCAATGCGACCTTCAGATTCATTCTCCAGGAGCATGTCCAACACAAAATGCAGGGCATGCATGCTCTGCACTTCTGGCAAGCTCTCATTCTTCTACTTCCTCCCATTTTGCGCCACACTGAACAATGCCTCTTGTACAGCTACTACCTTCACCCAGGGAGCCACAGCTGCCTGTTCTGTGTCATCCAGCAACAAAACATGCTATGCCTCACGGTCCTTTCTCACTGCACATTCCATGGTTTACAGGCTATTGGTCCTTACATTGACAATGGAACCTGGGAGTCTTCCACCTGTACCACTGCCCTACTTCGTCTCAAGCTGATAACTCCTAGAGTTGTTCAGCCAGCATGGTTATTATTAAAAATATTGGCAGCTGAAATAATAATATATAGAAGATGCCCACACTGAGGAAATTTACTCTAGAGCTATCCATGAAGGTCATAGCTGGAATATTTTCTTGTTTTCTCAATTTACCCATACTGTGCAGTTTTTAGCTTGCATCAACTTCAAATTCAAAAGTTTTAGCTCATGTTTGCTCCATAATATTTAATTACTAGCAAGCTTGTATATTAAGATGCCTTTCTGCTTTCAAAATATTTTATTCAGTTTCTTTTTTTGGCTTTTTAAGGAATCTGTGATCTAGACACTGATTTGTATGCCATTGTATCAGGATAAACAGAAGAAACTGGTTGTCTTTTCTTTCAGATTCTTCAGCTGCCTTGTGCAATTGGAATAAATAGGGTTGAGCTATACATGCTTTTCTTAAAGTACATAACTGCCATATTTTAGAAGGCATATTGTAATTCATGTCAAGGTTAGACATATGGGCTATTAATATATTTTTCTTTCTTTCAGTGGGTAGGAGCAAAACAACATGAACTACAGGTAAATTCTATGCAGCTACTATACTATCAAGCACCAATGTCATGCGGCATGTTGCTGTGCGTTGTTCCCTTCTTTGAGCCGGTCTTTGGAGAAGGTGGAATTTTTGGCCCCTGGACTCTCTCTGCTGTGGTAAATTGTTTATGTTTCTTCATTCTATTTGTTCTAAATGCTCTTAAAATTTAATAAACAACATTCCTATTTAAATATAGGCAAATATAATCCTAAATTTGGAAGTTTTTTATTGAATCATTGTTTCTCATTATTTAGTTGCTAGCCACTGAATTGTCAAATGTGAGATTTTACAACTGAAGGACTGCATGAAAAGGTCAACCCAATACTGAATTATTTTTTAAAATAATTTTTACTTTATACATTAACATAAATTAGTCCAGCTAATAATGACTGCGTAGAGTATATTGCTTTTCAAACTTTTTCAGGTATTTGTCTGAAGGCACACAATGAAGTAATCTTCCTGAAATCAAACAAGCTGGTCTTGAATGATTCATTTACATTGTTTTGGTTAGAGTGGTTCTCGGCTTGGTTCTTCTCTTGCCCTGAATTTTGACTATTTTTGACTCTTTGCCAGCTTGTAGTACCATTAGGTGTTAATGCTCTGATGGTCATTTTCTAATTGTAATGGCATTCTTGCTGCTTAATGTTTACTTTTACTTCATACTTTGTGGTGGCATATTTTTGTTTCAAAATAAAAATTAATTTTTAATTCATGCTTTCATTGTATATCACTCTGTGCATGATGTAATCAAAAGGCACAGTTTATAAATTCAGCAAATGATAAATAATTCAAAATATACTGACAATGTCTCCTTAAATGGTGATGAAACATTTGCAACCAAATTGCCAAGCAACCAAACTGCCAAGCTCAAACCAACAGCCTAACTTCCAACCCGAGCTACTAATATTCAAACATATTTCAATGATAAATAAAACTGGTTAGGAGATGGTACTTGAGACATTGCGGAAATAGGTATTGTGAAATGTAAATCTATGAAACCCTTTTTATATAGTTTTGTTAACTTTTATACTCCATATTTCAGCTATCAATTAAATGTTCAAAGAAAAATGCTTCAAGATTTTTAACATTTATCAAATGGAATAATTCAAAGTAGAAAAAGCTAAGGATAAGAAATCAGATCCAATTGTTTATAAACACAGGCTGTAATTCTTACTGTGAATGTAAAATGATCAGAAAAGCAATGAACAGGATACCATTTGACACCATCGATGTCACTTTATAGAGGATATTGTCTATTAAAAATAATATGCAGTGATTTGTAAGTGCTTTCCCCTCCCTAATCCACAGTCTATGGTGCTGGTTTCTGGAATAATAGCATTTATGGTGAACTTGTCTATTTACTGGATTATTGGGAATACTTCACCAGTGACGTATCCTTTCACTTGAAAAATTATTGCTGCAGTTTTGCAAAATTATTTACTGTATTACACTGGTAATAAACTCTACAAGTCAGAAACATCAGGTGAGTCACCAATAAGATCTTTTAAGTAAAACTTTCAGAAATTGTAGAATCATATTGTATTGGACTTAAATACTATGTTTTAGGATCTTTCAACAAGTTTGTTTGCATTGTTTTATGAGAGAATAACTAATCTCCAATTCCTGAATTTACTTTCTATAGTAGCAGTAAAATAATGATGAATCTTTTATTGAAAAATATATTAAATGAACACAGGCAGTCCTCGACTTACAACAGTTCGTTTAGTGACTGTTCAGAGTTACAATAGCCCTCAAAAAGTCCATTTTTCAGACTTATGATCGTTGCAGCATCCCCATAATCAAAATTCTCAATTCTCAGCAATGTTTCGGGGTGATGTGAACACCTTCTGACAAGCAAAGCCACTTCGGAAACCAGATTCAGTTAATAACCATGTTACTAACTTAACAGCTGCAGTGGATTCACTTAACAACTATGGCAGGAGAGGTGGTATAAACGTCTTAGCAACATAAATTTCAGGATTACCTGTATTGTTAACAGTGAGAGAAGTTTTCCTTAAAGGCAAAAATGAATGAACAAATACAAGAGAAAGTCTTGCTAGGCATTTTTAAGAACCATTGTACATAATAAGAAACTATGGAGGTGACTCTAGCAAAAGTATGCACTAACAGTAACAAAAATATTATTTAAGCGCAGGAGAAGAGGAAAACTTTAGAATGAAACTGACTCCACTAACTTGCTTGGGAATAAGAAAGAGGGAGGAAAATGCTATTGGGCTTTCAAGATTCTATTACTATAACTTGTATTAATGAAGCAGAGTTCCAGTTATTCTTGAGGGATGTGTTTTCTGACCTAGCTTACGTTTACAAGAGTGGGACTTAAGAAGCCAAACTGGCACAGGATATAGTATTTGATTATTTTGGATTAATTATTGGATTTGGCTTAATTATGATGTTCCTTAACACGGTTATATAGATACAACATGTTTGGACACTTCAAATTCTGCATCACCCTCATGGGAGGATATCTCTTATTTAAGGATCCTTTATCGATTAATCAAGGCCTTGGAATTACATGCACATTGTTTGGCATTCTAGCTTATACACACTTCAAACTTAGTGAGCAAGATGGGAGCAAAAGCAAGCTGGTTCAACGTCCGTAAATTAAGTATTTTTGTTGGTAACAAATGAATTGCTTTAATATGCACTGATTCCAAAAGCAATGTACTGTCCATGGAGGAATCTAAAATTGTCCATCTCCCAGCAGAGCAGGTATTCTCTCTCCTATAGCCGCCATGCACTGCCTCCACCTCCTCTGGCCAGTTGGGGTATGGATTGGATTACATCGAGGGGGTCACAGGACTCAGCAGAAAGAAAAGCATAGTAAAGAAGACTGGTAGTTGATGTGTGTTTGCTTACGTTGGCATGCCCAGATTCTCCCTCTCTCTTCTCTCCCCTTCCCTGTGTGTGTGTTGTGTGTGTTTGTATACACATATGTATGTATGCACAATTTGTTTTTTAAAGGGCTGTTTGTAATTACAGTGCAATCATTGTGAACTGTTCTATTTATACCAAATGAACTCATTCAGACAGATAGTGTTTTTTGCTAGAAAATTAATCATGTCCTTATGATTATGTCAGTATTAAGAGACTGTTTTTGTGATCAAGTGAACATTGAAGTTTCTTGATATGGTAAATACCGAAAACCAAATTGTTTTTTCTGGATTTTTAATTTCCATCTGGGACTTTGTTTCTAGTAGTCACATGCATTGTTATATTTTTTTTCTGCATATTTTAAAACTTAATGTATATTTAACTATAATTAACATTCACGGTTGAACAAAATACTGGTACTCCAAAATTATTAAGACTGAGAATTTTACAAGTTGTTAAATTTTCTAAGTTTATAAGTATTACCTAACTCAGTGCAGGCTGGCTCCTGTAGTTTGAAAGTGTTTTCTTTTACTTTGTTCAAGATTCAGTAATTTATATAAAAGATTTATTTTCTTATTATTTTGGCCAGTGTAGATGTAGTGTTACTTGCAACTTGATTTGTAAACTTTCTTGCAATTTGTATATATTTCTGCTATGTTTTAAACATATTTAAGACAGAACTTCCAAAGCATTATGGGGATTTTTTAAAATCAATATCATCCTCTTAACCCCAGGTTAAGAATAAATTCTCACTGAATATTAACTTGGTGATATAAAGATAATCATAGTTAAATCAAGATAGGGTATTAATCAGTCTCACCCAAATGTATCCTTATGTTTTAAACTGTAGTTATAATATCGACTAGAAATTACCAGTTCAATTTAGTTGGATTATGATTAGCTATGGATTTGTCATGTTACCAGATTCTATGCTATCAACACTGTATAGAAGAGTTTTGTATTCTTGACCATAATAGAGGCTGCTTATTATGGTTGGAAGTCATAACAGCAGTTAAAGGAAGTGACTCATTTGCAATCCCTTCAGCCCTGCTTTCCCAGATGTGGTTGTTCAATAGATCATGATGTCCTTTGGGGTGGCCGGGGAGGCTCTGGAAGGCCTAATCCAGGGTCTCCCCCACCCCCAAGACATCCTGAACTCTGTTTTCCTCCCCTAAGCATCTCTGCAGGCTTTGGGCCTGATTCCCATCCCACCAAGTGCCACACCTTCCTCCCCACTTCATGTCACCATCGCACACTTTTCAAAGATCTCTGATCTCAGTTAGGGAAAGAGGACAGGCTGCTTCCAGGATGTTACTGTGTGGCCCAGCAACAGAGAAGCTTGTTGTGCTCCTCTAACACACATTCTGCAGTATTCTACCCCATTCTTCAGGGCTGCGGAATACTGTGGAACTCGTGTTAGAGAAGCAAAGTAACCACTCCATTGGCACTATCCTGGAAGAAGCCATTATTTTCCAAGCCACCACAATTCAATGTGGCTGCTTGGGAAATTACAGCTGTTTCTGGGGTCGCATCACAGCCCAGGAGCAGAGCAGCCTGTCCTTCCCTAAACTGAGCTCTGGAGATCTTTTAAAGGTAAGTGAGGAGGAGGAGGATATAGATCCCGGCAGGATGGAAAGCAGGCCCAAGGCCTGCAGGAATCCGAGGAAGGGAATGGGCATGGGAAACAGGTAGGGAGATGCTACAAGATCCTGCAGCCAGCCCTAAGGGCAAAGTACTGTAATGGAACACCAGAGGTTTAACAAAAAGGCAAGAATTCTATAATAAAAGTGTAGTCTCGGACAAATCTTGTTATTATTGCTTTATATATTGAAAAGTGTTATGTTCTGCTTTATTTTTGAGAGCCAGTCTGGTCTATAGGTGGTCCTTGTCTTACAACCATTCATTTAATGACAGCTTGAAGTTACAACAACTCTGACAAAAATGACTTTATGACAGTTGCACTGTCATGGGGGTCATTATCTGTAATCTTCCCAGCTGACATCCGACAAGCAAAATCATTGGGAGAAGCTGGGCTCACTTAACAACCATGTGATTCACTTAACAACTACAATGATTCGTTGAACAATGGTGGCTAAAAGAGTCATAAAAAGGGGAAAACTCATTTAATAACTGTCTTCTTTAGCAATGGAAATGTTGGGCTCAGTTGTGGTCATAAGTCAAGAACTATGTGTATGGTTAAGGCCTGAGGCTAGAAACCACAAGACTGATATCCCTGGTTTTGCCTTTGGAACAGTCATTCTCAGTTGTTGTGGGGAAAATGGAGCCAGGAGAATTAGGTATGTTTGCTGTCTTGAATGTGTGGGTGTGGGAGAGGGTGTATATAAATCTTTTAAAATGTATTGGAGAAAATACTTTTCTAGGAAAGGAACAAAAGTCACTTTCCTAATGAATCTTTAATTTTAAAATAGTTATTATCTGAATATTCCAAATATTAACTATAGTTCTAATTGAAAGCACCCAGTACAGTCACGGTGAATTAATCAACTGTAATAATTTACTGTTCAGCCAAATTCTAGAAGGGAATGCAAAACATGAGATGAACTGGACCAATATATTGACACTATGATTCAAGATCCGTAGTTGGTTTTATGTATTCATTAAACATATTGTCTGATTAATGTACATTTTTGGAATCCAAAGCTGCAAAAATTATTGAAACCTCATCATACTATACACTAATGTAATGACCTCTAATTTTCTGAAAATGCAAGCACAGTCTGTATTTTGAACCTTTGATTCATTTGTACTGTTTGTTACAGGAAAATGTAGTTGTTTCTTAATTGTATACATTTATGTTAGAAATTAATCTTGTAGGCTTATATTACTTTTGTGAGTGTATATAAAATCAGTCTGAATCAATTTGCTTTGTCCATTGAAAGTCATGCTGGATCAGTCCTAGTTCAGCACCATAATCTCTTACTGACTCTATTGTGTATGTTTGTATGTATTAAGTTCTTGTGTACACACCATCCATTCGTCCCCTGGCAATTTCAATTTTTACAAAGAACAAACCCAAAAGCTGATGAGGAACAGAGTCTTTGCTCTCCTGTTACAAGTAGATACTTAGCTCCCATAAAAGATTTAGGTTTGTTGTTATCCTGCCTTTATTGTTTCCATAGATAACTGAAGGTGATAAACATAACTAATATTCTTTCCTCCTCCTACTTTCCCCACAACAAATCTATGAAAGTTGAGCTGAGAATGTGTGACTGACCTAAAGACATCTGGTTGATTTTTACTCCCAGTTTCCTGGTTTCTGGTGTCTTAACCACTATATCAAACTGGCTCCTATGTACCTGAACTTCAAAGTTGGCATTTTACAGTATGCTTTCAAAAGTATTCATTTTGGAAGGGAGTTCACTTTTATTTCAAAAATACATTTGATCATTATATTAGAATAAAGACATTACAATGTTTTGGGATTTTTTTTGCTTTGTTTTCTTATAAAATATGCTATAAAACAGAACTTTTAATGTATTATCCAAACATTTTTCCCATATCACTTTAGGAAGCTGTGATAATGAGCAAAAAACTGAATCTATCTCCTCCAATAAAATGTCTCTGAAATGTCATGAAGAATATAAATTTAATATGCTTTCAGAAATTTGGCCAGTATATTTTATAAGCTGCCTTAAGTGGATCTTTTTTTAAAGAGGAGCATTTGTTCACATGCACAAAAGTAATAGCACAGAACATGCCCCCAGTTTCATTTGCTGTTCTAAAAGTATTTGATATCTTGAATACCAAATTTATTCAGTAAATCATTCTTGTACTTTCTGTCAGTATTATGAAAGCTCAGCTATTTCATGTGATTAGCTGGATCTTAGCTATTATTCAGACTGAAGAATGCTTTAAATGCAATATTTGATAGCTGTAGTTATTATTCAAAACTGCCTGCTAAAGGTAATGTTCAAAACAGCATGTCCAGGGCAGTATCATTGTGTATTACAAAGCAATTTTGTGCTCTGAAGAGTATTTTCTGAAATGTAAATACAATTTTAAAATGTCAAGTCCTTGCATCCTATGTCTTGAAGAGAGTAACAATAATTTAGAGTATCTTTATCCATCCAAGCTCAATATATTCTTTCCTCAAGTCTTTTAGAGAACAAAATGGTAACTCCACATCTCATTCAGCTGTAACATTTATTGCATTTGTAAAATAAATTTCCATTGATGGGGAATTTGTAGGTCTCTACATGCTACTGGATTCCACCACTTGTCAGACTTACAGGGTTTTAAGAATAACTGGAGTGTCAATCCACTAATATCTAGAGACTTAATAATTTTCACCCCTTATTAATATAATTATAACACACAACAAACATGTACAAAATATTAATAGGGATGGTGTAGATGGTAGTCTGCACTGTGTGGAAGTTTTTTATTGTCAGAAATAGAATATCATAAAATATATTTGACTGTATAAAACAGAATGGCAATGTTTTTTAATGTAATATACTTGTTTTTTATGAATAAAATAGATCTTTATTAGTCTTGCCTCTGAACTATTTTGCTTCTTTTAGAAAACTGAGACAGTTTTCACTTCTTTAATATCTACACTATCTCCCCCTAATATGCAGCAGATTAAGTGATGTATTTTTACTACTCTTTATTTTTCAAAATACTTAAATGGAATGCTATTATACTGAAAAAAGGTAATATTTAAGGAAAACATGATTGTGTTGATACAAATATTCCTACAATTGTCCACTTTCATAATTATCTTTCTTTATCTCTCTCACCCACTCACCCACACAGAATTCTGCCATAAGCACATGCATCCCACAATCGTTCAGAATTGCCTGCCTTTTCATTCTTTTCTCAAGCAGCAGCAGCTGGGGAGAGGTGGAGAATATCTCCAGGAACCCGGAGAGACACAACTCCTGGCCTTCACTGGATCAGCTGATCCATGGGCCATGCATGGTTAAGGGGCCAAGGTGACAGGGAAGGGAAGGGCTGCTTCCCACCCACTTCACTAGGGCTTATCTGGGGGGTATGTCTTATATTAGGCCCACCCCAAAAAATCAGGGGAGGGCTTACTTTAAGGGGAGGTTGTTTTTTGGGGGAAACACAGCTAGAGGATTTTGGACCAGTCATTCTTTTTCAGCCTCAGGAAGAAGGAAAGGCAAACCACTTCTGAAAAATGTTGCCCAAAAAATTTCATGGAATTTCCCAGGCAGTGGCTAGGTGTCAAAGGTAACTAGGAGGCATATATGTATTTTACACACACACACAAATATAATATACTAGGAGAAAAATAATGCTCTTGAATTTGGAATAGTTTTTAAAATTGAGTAGGGCAGAACATTCAACGTAGCTGCAACCATACCAATTTTTAAAAAATCTTGTCCCAAATTATTGCAGAGCCTGGATGAAAAAGCTCTACTTATATTAAAAATATTGCTTATTTTTATCACAGAAAAATGATTTCATGAATTTTTTTTTAAACAGGTTTACTAGTTCAGGGAAAATTTCAAGATAGAACATTAAATTATCTTGGTTTTTTTCTTGGATATAGGCAAGCAATTACAGCATGTGAAAGAAGTCATAGGGCCTTGACATACTATCACAACAATGTGATTATAGAATTTCAAAAATTCCTGACTTTATCTCAGTATAAATTAACATAAGTTTAGCAAGGACACTTGTGAAAACAAATAATACATCAAAATGAGAACAATGAATTCAAGATCAAGAAACAAATGTTTTCCCTTGTATAATTGAAAATATCTTTACTGTATATTTATTTGAGTTACATTTTTAATTTGCTACACCTAGAGGATAATTGATAATTGTATCAATTATTACTATTTTTGCTGATCTGAATCAATTTGGCCTTGGTATTTTGTATCGGTGTTCCAAATGCCAAAAGTAATTTTACTGACCAAATATTAGGATGATAAGAATAATATCTTAGAGGAAAAGAGTGGTTGTGTCTTCCCTTACAGTAGCTTTCAGTGATGGGCCACTTCCTTTAATACTAGCACCACACTGGAGGTTTTTCTCCTGGATAGTCAAGAGATGCCAATTTTTGAAACCATCTACAAGTACATGAGTTCCTCAGAGCTCATCCTTCCCTAGCCAAGACCTACCTCCACTCTTTCAGTTTTAAGTCTCTCTATTTTAACTAATCATATTGGTACAAATTAACATTTTCACATGGGAAATTCCTGATATTTCAATAACCTCTATAAGGGAGGAGGGAAACCAAGTTTACTCTTGTGGGCCACTGATGTATGTTCTGTCCAGACCATGTTATCTTTTGAAGAAACCTCTGCTTGTTGACAGTTCACAGATGGATTTCTACCTAAACCATTCCCAAGCTTTGTTGTTACTGATTAGCCCAATAGGCCATATCAAAATACAAAAGGAAACATTCAGAAGAAAACATAAAATGTGACACAATAGAACATGTAAAAGTGAAGTTACAACAAATAAAAAGGGATAAATAAGGAACACAATATCATATTTCTGAATCACCCCTACAATTTAGTCCAATCAGACCAACATATGTAGATCTCAGCCGGATTGTTTTATTCAGACAAAGGACTGTGAAATCAATCCCACATCAGAAAACATCTGTGATAAAAAGTGGACATGCACTGGAGTTTCAGGTTATACTGTATTTAACAAATGCTATCTTCCGTCATTAGATACTTTACCTCCTACATACTTTGAATGCAGGGGGAAAGTGTTCTTTGATTAGATGTTGGGTCATGTCTAATATACACTACTAGTGGAAAATAGACCTCTATAGGAATTACTGTCAATTCAATAAGGAGAATGGAGGATTTGACAACTATAGGTACCAGACTCTACAGTTTGTAGGACTGTAAATTACACGTCTGTAAAACGTAAGACACATTTTATCCTTAAGAACCCTAAAAAATTTTAACTCCAAATCCCACTCAGAGATTGTATCTCAGCATCCTACATTAAACCTTTCAAAGGCATCCAGTTTAATTTGTCAGAGTATACCAGTAATAGAATGATAGATGGCTACTTTGTAGAATATAAGAACATGGTTTATTCTAGGGAAGGCAAGCAAAAAGAGTAAATATCATAAAATACCATTTCTCCAGAGTTTAGTTTGGTCTATGAGAGCCAGTTTGGTCTAGTGGTTAAGGCAATAGGCTAGAAAGCGGGAGACTTTAAGTCCTACCTTAGCTATGAACATAAGCTGTGTGATGTTGTGTCAGTCACTGACTTAGCCCAAGTTACGTCACAGGATTGTTGTGGGGAAAATAGGAAACAGAATATGTGTTGGATACGTTTAAGGAGCAAATAACATGGGTTTTGTTATTTGTTAACTAACATAGTTACTTTGTATTTTAATCTGATTTATATTTTTTCTTTTAAAGTGATGTTCAAGATTTATTAGCTTTTAGCATTCCTAAACTGATGAACAAGAGGGAGACTAACTCCTGATAAGAAAAGCTCCTGATAAGATTTGTTAGTACAAATCGGAGTCTAGTTTATCTCTTTTGTGAACCCTAAACCTTTCTCCTTACAAGTTATTCCCCTTCAGATCTCATTTTAATAAACATGCATGCTATTATCCTGTCCAATCAACTTTCTTCTTTCAGACTTCTTTGTTATTTTAACTGAAAGACCTTTAACAACCCATCCAACTCTGATATTCTGTTTTTGGTATTGTATGTGTGTGTGAACTTTGCATTGATTTTCCTTTGCATTTAGTTTGGATTTATCCTAAATAATGGGTTGGAGGGCATTCTTGTCAAAGGAACAATCCTATGAAATTTTATTTACAGCATGTGTTTTTGGAACTCCTTGCTACTGCAGAGAGGTGATTAATTGCTGGTTATTTGTACCGTTAATTAGTTATTTGTAAAAATAATATGAGAAATAAATAGTATGATAATACCAATATAAGAAATCTAAGTTTACTTTTTAAGGTAATGGAAATACAATTTTAAAATGTATTTATTTTTATCTGAAATAAGCATAGAATAAATGATGCAATTTGTGACAAAAATTCCTTCAGGTTAATGTGTTAATTCTGTCATCAACATTAATACCTCATGACTTTTATACATTTGGGGCTTTTACTTGTGTAAGCCTCAGCTTACACAAGTGCAATGGCAAAAGACTGTAATCCAATTCAATACAAATTCAAGGAATATCACAGAGGAAAATCATTTCTTCAAGAAATTTGAAGAAAAAAAGTATTTTTATGTACAAGTGTTGTGGCTCGGTAGGAGCCTTTGGAGCTGCTATCAGACTCTGAGAAGATAACAAGCAGCTGTGGCTCGTTAAGATCTCCTCCTCAGATAAAAGACTGATGGTGCCACGCCCTAGTTGCAGAAGTCAACGTTCGTTCGTTCATTCCATTCCGTTCCGTGCCTGTCATAGTCAAGTCTCTGTTTGTTTGCAATCATCGAGAAGAAGCACTTGGATAAGTGATTTGCTTTATATAAACCTGGTCTGCTGTGAGAGTTTGTTTTTGCATTTGCTGTTTAACTTTTTGCCAGAGAATTTATCTATGTTTATTTTGGGCTCGCAGCCAGCAAAAGACTCTGACGCTACTGGCCCCACATTGGCAAACAGGGGGCAGGAGAGAATTGAGGGGGAGGAAAGAATTCCAAAGGAGTATTGGGATCTCAGGGTTTTTTTTAGTGAAAAATCTTCTGACAAATTTCCCCCCCCCCAGACCCACAGATTGCACCATTGATATTTTACCTGGGGTGAAGCTTCCAAAGCCCCAAATATATTCAATGTCCCCTAGAGAAATGGAATAAATGAGAAAATTCATTGATAAGAACTTGGAAAGGGGGTTCATTGAACCAGCAAGACCCAAGGTAGCAGCTCCAGTACTATTTAGAGAAAAGAAAGATGGCTCCCTGAGATTATGTGTGAATTTCAAAAACTTGAACGCCATTTCATCTCAGAACCTCTACCCGTTGCCTCCAATGAAGGACATGCTGGCCCAACTAGGGAGGGGCCGTATTTTCACTAAATTGGAT